CTGAAATAGCAGGGGTATGTAGAGAGTAGCTAAAAACAAACTATTTCAGAACTTGAAGCAGTCTTAGAACGATCTGCCTGCTCCACCTACATGGACTGGATTAACAGGTAAATTGAACTGCAGAGAGGGACAGTGACATGTTCAATGCTGCACAGCACTGGGAGAGCCTAGAGCAGAAACAGATCTCAATAGGAAGGACACTGTGTTCTGTGCCAAGGCAATAAATACCGCTCTGCAGGTTTCAACTCTAACATCACACATAGAGCATGAGTGAGGTTAACAGGATGGATAAATGAAATTGTACTGTACTTTACCAGCATGCAGTACAGACTTAGAAATAGGATGAGAGAGACAGCACAGCAAAAACGCACCTTTCTGTTTTCCTTTCCCCAAAGCGTTATTCCATCTGAGCACAAAGAATTCCCTGTTTGTTGACCCGACTGGGGATTTTGGACATGCGCACCTTGGCCAGACTTCCTGCATGACCGAACTCAGTGTCCTACACATTTTGGACTTGCTGATAATTCAGTTGCCCTGAAGGACTAGAAAGAGTGATCTAGGGTTTTGCTTTTCTGTGATGAGTTCTACAAAAACGACAAATTGGTTATGAGGTTTAAGTTGTCACGAACTTGGGAAAAGTGAGCAGGTTAGCTTTGTATTGTGAGAGTCGGAAAGAGTCAAGAATAAGAAAACCCACACATAGATGACAGGAAACAGACCAGTGCACAGGGGTGGTGGGGGATGGCTCGTGTGCATGCACCTCTGCAAAGGAAGATGCTTCCAAGGGAAGTTAGAACATCCTCACAAATGATGCAGCCTGCAGAAGAAGACAGTCGGCTAACCGTTGACAGCTGTCCAGGATCCCCTTTAAGGAGCCATATTTCAAAGAAAACATCCTCAAACTGACAGAGTAATGTTCCCCGCACAGGTGGGAGACCTTTGGGGTGCTGGTGGTGCTGGGTGCTTTCATCTGGTCCTGTTACAGCTGTGTGTGTGCTTGGTGAAAACTTCATCAAACTGTATCTAAGATTAATATACTTGTCTTTGTATCATATACTTCAGATTAAGTGTGTTGCAATGACTAAGATTGATACATTTCCTTTAGGACTTACCTTGAAATGCTTCAGTTTACATGGCAGTTATAAGAAAAGTCATACTCTGCTTTATTCATGTAATATTTTCTCATAGTTTTTTTTTTTTTTTTTTTTTTACAGGCAGAGTTAGACAGTGAGAGAGAGAGAGAGACAGAGAGAAAGGTCTTCCTTTTTCTGTTGGTTCACCCTCCAGTGGCCACTATGGCCGGCACATTGCGGCTGGCATGCTGCACCAATACGAAGCCAGGAGGCAGGTGCTTCCTCCTGGTCTCCCATGCGAGTGCAGGGCCCAAGGACCTGGGCCATCCTCCACTGCACTCCCTGGCCACAACAGAGAGCTGGACTGGAAGAGGAACAACCAGGACAGAATCCAGTGCCCTGACCAGGACTAGAACCCAGGGTGCCGGCACCAGAGACGGAGGATTAGCCTGATGAGCCACAGTGCCAGCCTTCTCATAGATTTCATTACAAGTTATTATACAGGCCTCACAGCCATTTTTTGTTACCAGATTCATGATATCCCACAGTGTAGACAGACCACAACATCTGCATTATGCATGTGTGGAGAGATAAATTGATCCTGATGTCCACCTTTATAAAGAACACTGAAATCAATACTTTTGAATATGAGAATATTTCAGCAAGTCCATGGAAAATAGAATTAAAAATTAAGTTCATTTTCATGCAAAGAACTTTTAAAAATTCATGCATATGAGAAGTTTTCACAAAGTTCATAAGAAATGTGCATTTCTGAATTTTGTTTTATAAAATAAAATAATTATCTCTTTTTAAAAGAGACACTTTCAGCATTAAGAAGAAAAGGAAATACTTATTCCAAAGGACACGTCATGTCAACCCAACCTCCTTTCTTTAAGATAGTTCTTGAGATAATAGATTAGGAAAATTCAGGAGACAGATGATTATTTTAAATGACCTTGATACCACTCTCAAGCTAATTTTTGTGGGTAAATACAATATATACAAGTTGTGCAATTGAAAATATATTAGCACATAAGCAATTGAGGAGATTAGTATCCAGTTCAGAAATTGCTATGAAGATGAATGTCAACCTAAAAGAAAGACTTATTACACACCACAGGATTCTACTGTTGGCATTTGCAAGCTGCTGCCTATATTAGTGTACTACCAAAAGTTCATGGAAAATGGATTTTTAAAATAAGTGTATTTGGGGCCAGCACTGTGGCACAGCAGGTTAAAGCCCTGGGCTGAAGTGCTGGCATCCCATATGGGCGCCGGTTCTAGTCTCAGCTGCTCCTCTTCCGATCCAGCTCTCTGGTATGGCCTGGGAAAGCAGTAGAAGATGGCCCAAGTCCTGGGGCCCCTGCACCCAGGTGGGAGACCTGGAGGAAGCTCCTGGCTTCAGATCGGCGCAGCTCCAGCCGTTGTGGCCATCTGGAGCATGAACCAGTGGATGGAAGACCTCTCTCTTTGTACCTCTCTCTGTAACTATCTTTCAAATAAATAAAAAGGAAAAAAAATAAGTTTATTTTGATACAAAATTTTTCTAATCCATGCGTACATGCATTCTTCAAAAAGGTCATGGAAATGAATATTATGGGAAAAAAATGCATGGACTTCCAAATTGTGAAATATACTTAACTTTTAACCCCATTTTACACAAACCTTTTCAAGCAGTCTGGTATTAATGATTTGGGTTAAGTTAGAGGAAAAAATATTTTCCCAAAATTCCAGCTGGTGGAGAACACTGTGATAGGATGTAGTAACAGGATCAGCCAAAGATAGAAGTCAATAGTGGAAAACGTGACTCTGTACTTTGGTTCCAGATATCCAACTGCATTTGTATATTTATAGTATATATTTACATTTCTATTTTTGGTTGGAGTGGGTGATGAAATGCTAGGATGTTGGCTATGTTAATAAAAGCCAAGTGTAAGTAAGGAAAATGGTGACAGTCTAGGTAATCATAATCTAAACCACACATAGACTCTTCTTGTTTTAGCCACTGCACAATAAGAACAAAGTAGAGATTGCCACAGGCTGAGTAGCTAGGATGACTCAATAAACTTGAACTCTTCTCATGCGAGGAGTTGCTGAGGGGAATCCTAATGAGCCTGGCAACCATCTTTCAGTATCAAGCTATGTTGCTTGCACAAGAAAGGGCATACTCTTAGGCATGGTATCAAGATCACTAAGGATGATTATAGGACTCCTACTGGGCTTAATGGAAGTGAGCCTTTAGCATAGAGGGCAGTGTGTGGACAGAGGAACCCTGCTGTAGACATTACCATTCCTTCTCCACTCCTGAGTACATGGAAGACTCCATTTCCCCACCGTGCTGAAATCATCATGGCCACGTGACGGGCTCTGTCCAATGCAGCATTACTGGAAGTGATAGTGTGGCTTCTGACTTAAAGCTTTTGATTGTCAGGGCTTGACTCTTTGGCATTCTTTCTACTTCTGTTAGAATGGATGCACCAGCCTTGGTCTCTGAGTGCTTAGACTATCTTTCACCCCCCTACTCACCTCTCAGACCAGTCACACATCTACACTGGATATGCAGTTTGAGAGGGAAATAGGTGGCAGGTGTTGCGTGGCACAGCAGGTAACCCTTGCTTGGGAAACCTGAATCACATCTAGGACTCTCTGGTTTCAAGTCTCACTTCTGCTTCCAGATCTGGCTTCCTACTGATGCACACCTTGGGAGGCAGTGTATGAGGGCTCAAATACTTGGCTCCCTGCCAAGAATGTTGGAGACCCTTATTCAGTTCATGGCTCCTGGTTTTAGCTTGGCCCAGCTACCTACCTATCTACATCTGTCTCTCTCTCTACCTCTCTGCACTCCTACTTGCCTCCCTTCCTCTCTCTGTCACTCTGACTTTCTAAACTAATAAATGAGTAAACAAAAGTTTTTTTAAAAAAGTCTTTGTTGTTTCTAGCCACTGAAGTCTGTGGGTTTTATTACCATGTCATAACCTTTTCTATCCTGATTAATAAGTATCTACAAGATGCAGCAGCCAACTAAGCATTAGATTCCTGAGACGATTTTGATTCAGTGACTCACACATTTGGATTCTTTGCTTTTTACTTTCATTGCTTATTGCATTAAGACTGTTGTTGGGGTATATGTTAGTCTACAAGACTTTTCAGCCACCTCCAAGGGTCTCCTGGAAAATGGATCCTAGTGATATAGTCTAAAGATGATTTTCTTCCTGAGCACACACACTGTAACTCCACTGCAGTTCCAGAAATATTACAAATTTATAGAATTTATTCACATGTTAAGCAATAATCAGATAATTTATCCAGCAAAAATTCTATTGCCATATAAACATATTTACATTATTTATCAAGGCTATGAGCCCTCCCAGCTGAGATGTCAAAGTGAATTGTTGAACATGAACTCTGTGGTTTGATTCTCACACAGTTCATATAGACTGGACCATTGCTTTGTGCCCCTTTATTCTGTACCTCAATGTACAAGTACAATGTACAATTCTGTGCTTAATGTACAAGTGAATTCTTGCCACAACAGTTTCCCAAGGATGACCTTGTCCCATCTGGTAACTCCTGCAACTGAACAAAGCACATAGCATAATGCATCGTGCCTTCTACAAACCTGCTAGGTGCTGGGCAGTATCTGCTTGATACGTTTATAAAGTGGTTCTGTCTAGGCAAGAAGTTTATGAGGTGGTAGAAGCCAGGAAGTGAACAGAAGAACATATGTACCTAGCCTGAGAGGAAATAAAGAAATGGAATTAAAAGGCAATTCAAATGGGGAAGTAAAATGGAAAGAATAAATTTTAAATTATACTTAAAATACATATGCATGCATATATATGCAAATATGTATGTATATTTTTCTTTATATAACAACTTTATGTAACCCACAACTGATTAACTGTTGCCTCATTTTTTTGTCCACAGGAGACCAAAATCAACTGTGTTCGTCTGGCTACGAAAGGTATGTTGGCCTGTCCTTGTCTGTCTTCAGCTGTTCTATAGCCATTTAAGTATTTCTTCCTCTAGCTATGTAGGAAAAATGTAGACAAGAGTGACTAAAACAACAAGAAATAATTGTTATCTTCATTGGCATCATTTGCATCTAGACTGTACATCCAAACATATACATATTAATTGTAGTGCCCACAGCCTAGTAAGAGCTCAAAACATATTTCCTAGATGGATACAACAATAGATGGACAGAGTAGTACATTAATTGATAGAATGACTACGATTTTGCTCAAATATTCTGTATGTTTTCATTGTTTTTGGGGGTATTTTTCTTTGAGCATGTCTGTTGGGCCCATCATTTGGGTTTTGTACTTTATTCAATTGGTACATGGCTTTCAAAAATGAGGTGATTAGTGTCCAGGCCTTTAATAATGAGAAAACAAACATTGCATTGTTATGTAGCTGGCATTTTCAACACTTATCCCAGAAACGAAGACAGCGTTGTTCAGGCTCATCACTTTTGTTTTCCTAATTATAATTGAATTGCCTGGCTCTTTCAGTTGGCACATGTTTCTGTTTATTATTCCTTTTAAAAAATCAATGAATGGTTTGTTATCATTTAACCTATTACAAGGTTGAATGATTATAAGCCAAGTTTATCTTTTTGTTATAGAATTGATATTTTTAAAAGCAATGTCCCCACACACACACCAAAATTTGGTTCTATTCCCTGCATTTATTGACAGAATATGTAGTTACATAGCTTGCTTCCAAGGAGATGAAAATTGTAAATATAAGTAGACAAATAAAGATAAACTATACCCAAGACAGTGACCCGCATGTGAATGTGTATCTACATGAATATATACACAAATATATATCCATACAAATAAAAACTTCTGCTCACATGGGTGGAGGAGGAAAGACAGAGATGGGGAGGATTTGAACAAAGAGAATACCCAAAGCTATTTGACACAATGGCACCCAAACCTCCCGGGTCTGACTTTGTAGCTGCTCATAGGTTAGGCACGAAAGGGACAATGTGGGAGGAAGGGAAGTCAGAGCTGCATGGGATCACTGTGATAAGAAGTCACCCTGATTTCACATAAGTCATAGAGGTTGGCGTGTCCCTAACTTGTTCCCTCTCAGAAATTCAGGCTAGTGGACAGAATGAGATAAAATACTCTCTGTGAGGCAAGAGAATTGATGGCCTGCAAACAAAAGTGACACAAATCACGGGCCCTGGCAGACTTTTCCGCTGAAGAAAACAGATAAGGTAGAAGGAGGAACACCATCAATTGGGTAGCACTAGTGCTCTAGACAGTAATCAGGACAGCAGGGTGTCTACAGCAGCCTGTTTAAACAGGCAGCTGAGGAGAGAAAGAAACATACAGAGAAGCTTCCTTCACCACGATGATATTTCATAGGCCTGGACAGCTTTTGACTTGTAGGCGAGGTAGACGTCAGTGCACGTGCTCTGCCTTCTGTGGGTTATATGGGACTCTAAGGTATAAGCCCTCCCAAAGTGTAGTGTCCTGGGTTGTATTTTCTGACCTAAGAATTGGGAACATGTGATCACACACACAATAGGTGCAAATGGGGACAGTGAAAGAATACTTAGAACTGTACATTTCTGACAAGTCCAGGATCATAGTCCTCAGATGCATGGAGTTCCTCCACCCTGGACTTCTCCAGAATTGCACTGCTACCTACAGGATTGTGGTTGCATTTTTTCTTCTTACCACTTATTGAACTCTTATTCAGAGTTAATCCCATGAGTATAAAGTAAACTGAAAATAGATCATTGTAAAAATTAAGAGGGGGAATAAGAGAGGAAGGAGGAGGAAGGGTGGGAGTATGGAAGGGAGGGGATGGTAGGAAATATCACAATGTTCCTAAATCTCTATATAGGAATTGAATGAAATTTTTTTACCTTAAATTTTTAAAAATTTGAAAAAAAGTCAAGAACTGGAATAGGAAAGTTCTACCTCTCTTTAGCATAAGGGTTTCTCCTCCTGTTTGACCTTCCCTTCAGTGGGGTGTGAGCACGTGTGTGTGTTTGACAGGGTGGGAATGCATGAATGAGTATGGATGCCCAGCTGGCAAAGCCCAGGCTGTTCTGAGAGATCAGGACATTGGGGATTCCAAGCAGCCACACTCCAGCTTCCAGTACAGGGAGAACCAGCACTTCATCCTAAAGAAACAGGGTTCCAGTACTTCCTGGGATGGAACAGATACAGCTAGGTAATGTAGAATGTCAGCTTGCCGTGGTTCAGGGAGTTGTTACCTCTCAGCATCACAGCAGATAAGAGGGATGTGTTAGGAATATAGAGACAGGGCAAAGAGACCTGCATTTGGTAAGTCTCTACTCCATGCCAGGTTCCATGCTTGGAGCATATAAGATCCCTTAAAGGAAATCCCTGTCTGAACCCATGCTTAGCTAATAAGAAGCTCTATCAAGGATCTAAAGCTGTGAAATCAACAGTTGATGCATCCCTTCCCTTCCTGATTCTATGCATCAAATTTCTTTTTGGTAGGCTTGCTGGAAACAGTATTCCTTTTAACAAGAAAGTACTGCGAATCCCTCAGGCCTCAGGGGTAGGTAGGTGAAGTCCTAGAGATGGGTCATCAGACCTTCTCCAAGCTCTTCCACCTCTCTGTCACCATGCCAGGTTCTTCACGGGTCTGCTGGCAGATGTCCAGCCTCTAGGGTGTGGTCACTTGTCAGACTTGAGGCCAGTGCTGTGGTGATGAAGCATCTGACCACTTTCCTGTCCCTAACCTGCAGAGTCCAGCCAGTGTCTGTGGTCAGCTCTGCGGATCCCACAGAACAAGACGGTTTTGGCGCTTGGAACAGCTCCATGCTCTGATTCAGGTTCACTCCAACTCAATCCCAAGCCCAGTACCTCTTAGGTTAGATACACACCTGGCTGTAGAATGTGCTACAACCCTCACCTTTCTGTAATGTCTCCGTTAGTCACTCTGGTTGTTACTGCATGCTTCCCAGTTTGGAGGGTTATAAGGACTTAGATTGGTTTCTAAGACTTCTGTATCCAAGTCATATATACCAGGTGGCTTAAAAAGCAGCCATTACTTTCTCACAATGTTAAAAGTCAGATGTCAGAAACCAAGGTGTCATCAGCATTGGTTTCTCCTGAGGGCTGTGAGAATGAATTGATTCTGCGGTTTGCTGGTGAGCATTGGTGTTCCTTAGCTTGTAGTAGCATCCTCTAGATCTTTGCCTTAGGTTTTCATGTCTTCTCCCTGTGTACAAGTCTGTGTCCAAGATTCCTCTTTTTATAAGGACTCTAGTCATATTGTTTTAGGAGGATACCCTGCTCCAATATGACCTCATCCTAACTTAATTGCATCTACAATGACACCATTACCAATAAAATCTGACTATTACGTACTGGGGGTTAAGACCTCAATGTAAGAATTGGGGAGGAGGGGCAGGACTTGACTAGCATTCAATGTATAAACAGATCTGTGAAGGTACAGCAGTGTTGTTATGGTTCCCAGTGGAATCTCTGAGTGTTGCCCATTTACAGTTTGAGCTTTGGAGATTTTAAGTGTGTGTAAGAAATAGGAACCAGTCTTGCCAGAGGGGGTCCCAGAGGTAGGCGAGGTTCTGATTTGGCTCATACTTCTGGCAGAAGTTATGTGAGGCTGTTTCAGGCGAGGAAGCCCATGATCCATGGAAGAAACCTTGGGCAGGAAGTTAATGTGGTAGGCTGGTCCTGCACGCAGACACCGTCTCTAATGGCAGGACCATTCCCAGAGCTCACATAGAGGTGAAGTATTATGTTCTGGCCCAAACATGGTTCTGCAGCCTGGATGGGGCTAGGTCTCCTGGGACAGGCACCATCAGTTTAGTCTGAGAGGAACTCTGATGAGGAGCCACTTCAGCTTCAACAGTCATTAATTCTGCTAATTTCTTGGCCAGATTTGGCATAGCAGGATGTCCCTTGCACATAGGTGATACTTGAAAAATACTTGTTAAAGTGAGTACATGCATTTGGACTTAGATCTCTGTGCTCAATCACCCTGAAACTTGGCCACAGGCTGTATTTAATCTTCTTCTGTCCATCCACAAAACATTTTTGAACATACCTTTTGCCAGTGATCTGCTGGATATACCTGTCCTCTGTAGAATAAAAATCCTGATTTGTCTGTGTTTGGGGTATAAATATCCCCCACAATGTCGAATTTCAACTTACCATTGGTGTAACAACTCGCACACACAGTGAGTGTGTATAAAGTTGACTGTAGGAACTGAGCACTTGGCTAAGGACTCTACTGCCTAGTTTGTTGTGAGGATCAAATGGTATAATTGCATATGTAAAAGTCATTTGTTAACTGTGAAGTATTTGGTGGGAGGACAATGGTTGTTACTAGTATGATGATATTTGTTTCCTTCTCACAGTCAACCCACTCACGAAGCATCTATGAGCACTGTGGTAGGGACTGAGGGTTTCTTGCTGAACCAGTAGATATGGTTTCTCTCCTCCAGTGAATCCAAATCTAGTGTGGAAACAAACATTAAGTGAATGATTATAACCAATAATGGTGCAGTTGTGGTTATCGTCAGTGCTTCCAAGGAGATGTAAAGTGTATTGTATGGGGACTGAAGTAATCGCGGGACAAAGTCCCAGGCAGCACTGGTGTGTGGGTGTCCATCTGGGTCTCTGCTTCCCTGGGACTGGGGACATATAGAAGACTTTGTGCCTTCCCATCCCTTCTCATCCAACACTGGGAATTACTTAGGACCCAGAGCAGAGGTGAAATTTAGGAGGCCACTGGAGTCAGGGTCAGCAGCTGTGGAAGGAGTTGTGTCACTAGCCCCACGTGAAGAGCCAGATCTTTGTATTTGCAGAAGATGTATGGAATGGATGCATATATCACTGTTGGGGGAGCAACTATTTTTTATGGGTTTCAAGGAAGAACTTGACATTGAAAAGCTCAGCTATGAGACTATGGAGTAGCAGTTGGGTATTTGCTAGTAGTAGG